ATCTACTACAGTCTTTCACTATCACCAAAAACAATGCAAAAGCCTTCCTGTAATCCCCATGACAAAGTTTAATAGGTGTTCTCTGAAACTCTACATACAAATTTCTTCCTTCCAGAGGACACTTCTATATTTGAATTGTCTTTATATTATTAACTCTAATCTTCAGTCTTGTGAAAATTAGACCCTGATCCCATGTCATTACAGCAGTTTCAGTAGAAACAACAGGACCAGGAGTAGAGATTAATATTGGAGTCATACTTGCTATAGTAGTATTCTTTTGGCAAATCTTTATCTTTCAGCATCCTGAAATTTCCATCTCATTGCAATAAATGAGAATCAAATGTAAAATAATTGTAATAAATGTTATGACTACTCATTATATAGAGTTGCCTCTCTTCATGAGAAATGGAAAGACTTTCTAGATGTCTTTGTGGTTAGTTAAGAGCCTTGTGACATGTTTTGGGCAATGAGCTGTAAGCAAAAGTGGTCTATGGCACTTCCTGTATTACAGAGTTAAGAGTATGTGTGATAATGTCCATTCTCTCTCTTCCTCTAATGCAGCAAACCTGATAGCTATGTGTTCCAGCTGGCTTACTGACAAGATGAGAGCAGGCTGGCTCCCTGGGCTACCACTTGAAAGAGAAGCATTCTATAACTTATAAATAAGTCTCAGTCATTTAGTGGGCTGTGCTGTTAGGCTATTACCTTCACAAATGCTTCTCAGCTTTTTTTCTCCTTTTGGTGAGACAGGAAGGCTAACGGGGACTGAAGTTGGCTATTTCCCTTCTCTCACATTGGTTGGTTAGGCTCTAATAAATTAGTTTCCCTTTAGAACGAAAAGCTCTGGGAATATTTCAAAATGGTTACTTTCCTCCTCTTCCTGCTGGAAATACGAGAGAATTTTCCCCTGATCCTCATTTTGGGAACCTGGTGAGGTTCCTAAAAGTAACACTCACAAAACTGGAGGTTCCCCTAAGGCTGGGCTCCCAGGAATTTTTAACTCCGAAGTTAGGCCACACTCAACCTTCAGTAGTTCATCAATTATAGTTTAAATTTTCCTACCAGACCCTAGCCCTAGTGGTTTCTGTTCCCAGTAAGCTATTAATTCTCTTTATTCACCTCTATCTCCAGTTGTTGGGGCATTGATTTGCCCTGTGACCTCAATTTTCTGATAGATCTAAGAAAATTAAAGAAGAGTTGTTAATAATTAGTTTGTTCAATTTTTTTCCTGTTGTGAGGATGGGAGTGACAACTTCCATACTCTACATGTCGAAGAGAAAACCCTAAGTCTTCACAATATTGTTGTTAATTGCTTATCAGTATGTCTTTTTCCCACTTGAATTGTGAAATATTTGATAGTAGGTACCATAGTCTTTTTATCTCTGGATTCCTAGTACCCTGCACAGTGTGAGAATTCTTCAGGGCTCTGTCATGGACCTTCTTATCTGCTCTTTATCCCTCCCTCCCTCTCTCTCTCTCTCTCTCTCTCATCTGATGTACCACACTGACAACTCCAAAAGTTACATCTCCAAGCAATCTATATTTCTCCTTCAAAGTTGGCTTATTTATAGACATTTTAAACTTAAAGCGTTTAAAACTTAAGTTTTAGTTTCTACTCTTAACCTGTTCACCCTTTTCCCTTCTTGATCATAAATAATCCCATCGCCACCCAATTGGCTCTTCCAAACAGAAATCTTGCAGCTATTTTTGGTTCTTTTCTCTATCTTACTAACTTCCTCCAAACCTACTCCACTAACAAATCGTATCATTTTGACTTCCACATATAATCCCATTATAATTCTCTCTATCTTCACTGTAATTAACTTGGTCCATGTCATCATGACCTCTAGCAGAGATCTTCACAAAAGCCTCCTCATTGCTCTCTCCACCTCTACTCTCACTCATTCATAGAGCAGCCAGATTGATCTGTTACACAAATTAAATCATATCACTCCCAAGTTTAAAGCTTTTCAATATCTTTCCTTTATACTAATACTCAGCTCCAAACTCTGTATCATTATATATAAAAACACTACTCCATCTGAGTCCTATTTCTGGAGCCTCATCTCCTGCCACATTTCCTCTTGTCTACTATATCACAGCTACATTGGTCTTCTTCCTATCTCTCAAGTCCTTTGCTACCTAAAGACTTTCACATATGACGTTCCCTAGGTTTAAAACTCTTCTCCTTAGCATTTTTTCCTATTAAAAGATCACATAATCAAAGATTACTACATTAAATGGTCATCTGATTCCAATAATTCAAATTTTAGATTTTCCAAGTATTTAAAAGTATATTTATTATTTATCAAATCACAATGAGTGAAACTGTTATTGCATGAAAATTAAAAACTAATCCAATTGACTAGTTTGTATTTTAAAATTTTCTTTCTTACCTTTGACATTATGGTAGATATTGGGGATACAATAACTGTTAAAATAACAGTTGCATTACAAAATATTCATCATTTTTTCCAAGTATGCCCATCCTTAATTATCCAGGAATATGTTTTACGCTTTACATATAACTTATATTATATTGCCTTTATAGACAACTTTCCCTCATTTTGATGGTGATGCAAAAAAATAGTAATAGAAAAAAGATAATACTATTTAATTTCTATATTAAACAATTTCTGCAAGGGTTAAATGAACTGACAATTGAAACAAATAGCTCAATTTTCTATGCCTCAAAATGTGTGGAAAGTCAAAGTTAGATACATTGTTCTTCTTATACCTACAATTTCACAAGAATTATCCAAATTATATTAAAATGAAATTCCTCAGAAAATATTAGATTTTTAATACTATCTGATAGAATATTTTGTTATTCTACTATAAAAATGATTATACAGAATACAAAAAAATATAAGTTCTTTTCAACATTTATAAATTAAAATGAATACATAAAATTAGCTCTCAGAAACAGTTTAATGGATGAATAAACAGAAAGTAAGCAGAGAAGTTATTCCACTCAAATGGTAGTCAAAGAGAGAAACAAGTAAGGTGACTCAGAAAGAAGTCTTAGAACTCTGATTTAGGAGAAGATGAATTAAAAGAGAAGATTCAGAAGTAATCCTGGTCTGTGGATCAGAAAGTTAAAAGGAAAGCTCTTACCAGAAATTTTCAGCGTAACAAGAAGATAAAGAAGGTAACTACTGAGAGAATATATTAATTCTGAATTCTTAATTCTGTATATATTACAGAGCAGCAAGAATGAATGAATTGTCCAAGAAACTTTAATGAAAATACCTATTAATGAAGAATTAATTTTTAGAACATCTGAAAGTACTAGTCTTTCCTCCTACCATCTTCCTATATAAAAATCAAAGCAAATTGAATTGTATTTATTATTGAAGTAAAGCTATTTCTTTTGTATTTTGCCTCAATCTTTGTCTATGCCAATCAAATATCACTATTTCAATAATTAGAGATTACTTTTAAAGTTACTAACAAAATACCTATTTTTATTTAATGCCCATCATAATCTACTAAATAATGACTTAATCTTGATTATTCTCTAAAACTCGCAAACAAGAAACAAAATTGAAGTAATTTAAAATTGAGGCCAAGTTTTATCTAATTATATTTTGCTATTGATTTTACTATTTTAAGTTTCAGTGCCTTAGGAAAAAAACAGCAAAACACTGATACCGTGTGTCATTTTTATATAATTTTTGCTAATTAGAGATTATTAAATTTATTTCTATTCCTTGTGACGCAGTATTACTATATCATAAAAGTATAAAACATCTGAATCAACTGTAAAGAAATAACTGAGTTCTTATTATAGATTAGCCTCTCTGCGATGCCAAAGATAAAAAGAATACAAGACAAACAAAGGTCTTGACTTCAACTACCTTAAATATAACAACAGTTCCAATTTTAGAACTACATATTAACTATTAGGAGTGGTATATCAGAACATATTTCACTTCATTTGAAACTGAAACAGACAAAATTTTAAATAAAATGCATTTAAGGTAACAAAAAAAATGGATAAGGAGACTACCCTCATCTATAAGACAAAAAATACATTTATCTCCCAGTTTGTATTTAAAGGCAAAACTGAATGCTTTTCTAAATATTTCATCTTAGGGCTCCTAAAAGTCATTCTCGTTCTCTCCTAGAGGTCATGTCGCTTTTCAATCTGCCCATTCCTACAACTAAAGCATCTTCTCCACAGACATAGTTCCTACTTAAAAAAAAGCACAGAGGCAAGATGGTAAGAGCATTTCTGAGTAAGATAGTTTTCATGAAGAGACTGGAATTTAAACACATGCAGTCTTTCTCACATTCTCAGAATTACTTTCACTTCACAACATAAATAATATTGTTTACTTAAATTAAAAAGATATAAGTGTGAACAACTTATTAAAGAATGTTTTTTAATCTGCTAACAACTGAAATAAATGGAATGGACCTTTTTTTTAATGTTTCAGGTCAATGTGAGAATAAATTTTTGCATTTCCTAAATAATGGTTCATAACCTAATGAAATGTTCAGTGAAAACAGGATTCAGTAGTCAAATAAGATTAGTAAATGTATGTTCTAACACCTTGGAGCATGTTTAGACAGTCAGACCTATTACAATAAAGAAACCTGCTTAACCTTTCTTAAAGAACCTTTCCAAATTACTTAATCACAGATTGAATTTGGGGATTAATACCTCTTAATGTCCTCTGGAATTATTTTTGAAAGAAATATACTTTGGAATATATTTCATTATTGGAGAAAGATATTTTACTGGATTAATACAGTTTACGTTATTTATACTAAAATTGGGGGAAGAATTACTTCTTTGTTTTTATTACCCTATAAATTATCCTTGTTTTCGTTTTAGATTTCCGGGGCATAATTAAAGTGAAAGTATAAAACTCATAACCTAACAATTTTAATTTCTGAGGAATAATATTTCAAGGGCAGTATTTTAATACATACTCATCAGTATGTTATACTATCAGAGATAATATTTAGTCTATACAGATCAGCTTACTTACGTCTGGGGCTCCTTTTCATTTTGTTGTTTTTGCTGGGGCTGAAGAACGTTATTTACCAGTTCAGTGATCCCACTAAAGGGAAACCACCTGTTTAAATAAGCAAATAATGTGACTGAATAACCAAATGAATAACAACGTAGGTCAAATGTTTTCATATTCATAATAATAGAAATACACAGGCACAAAAGCTACAGCCAATGGAAATGTGAGCTCCAATTATCATCCAGGCAGTCAGAGGTAGGGAAATTAAGTTTGAACACTTAACCAGTCCACAAGCAGGCAGCAATAACTACATCCAGTCAGTATGTGGATGAAGTAAGAAACTGCAAGCAGCTCTCCTACAAGCCAGAGAGTCAGAAAGCAGAAGACACACTAGCTGCAGCCTATCCAGTATTAGTATAAGCTAATACCATCCAAGGTGCAGAAAGCAGAATATGGCAAAAGTACAGAAGTCAAGCCTACTGCACTCAATACATTTACTTACTGTGTCGGTTGTGGTTTGTGTTCTTCTTTGATCCTAAAAAGATAAGTTTGCACAACTGAGTGCACTGTACTACAAAGAAATTTCTATCTACATATCTGTGGTCATATAAAAATGAAAAGTGAGGTTTGTTACATAAAAAAGCTTAGTGCTTTGCTACATACTGGAATTATACATTTAATTCATTTGACACAAAAAAGGGAAGTTGAATCATTTGTTCTTAATAGAGGACTGATATTAAAACTCTACTACTGTTCTAATGATTTCATGATTTAGTCCTCAAGTTTTCTATATGTTTTTATTGATATTAATATTGATACTTTTAAATAATTATTTTAAAGTACCATATTAAACACATTTGGTTTACTGAAGATAAATAGATTTCCTCTTTATTTTTTAAATTTCTTCATTAACATAAATTGAAGTAAAGGTATAATATTTTAAATAAAATATAAGGTTTTATAAATGTATTTTAGAAGACATACAAATGATTTTATTTACTGTTTAAAGGAGTAATTAAAGGAATTAGGGGAAGGGAGGTTATGTATCCACTCTATCTAAAAATGGCTACTGAAATAACTATGTATATTAAATTTAAAATATTCATAAGCTTACGTAAATTATTCATATAACAGATGAAAAATGCATTTAAACTATAATCAACTCGGTGCTTCACTGAAATAACACTGGATATTTAAAAGGTAAGAGAAAGATCATACACAAGAGTAATGATGCCTCTGAACTTTGGCTTCCCACAGTTTGCCTAGGATTGATCCTATGAGGTAAACCCATATGATTTGATCAGTTTTCACTTTCCCAAAGAAAGACTAAGAATTGGTAACTAAAATTGGTCACCAAAATTTAGGACCTTCATTAGGAAATTATATTAATGCTATAAATTAAATTCTTTTTTAAAAAAATTGATTTTCTTTTCCAGAATATTCTTATTTTTATGATATAAGTAATACATGAAAAAGTATACCCTTATACATCTTTGTTTCCCAATGAATAAATATAACTGATAATTATATATCTCTATGTTAACCAAAAAAATTCTGTGTTCTCTGCATAAACTTCAAAAAGTACAATAGTTTTAGCCTAGAGCTAAAACCACATCATTTAGTATATAAAAAATTATATAATGGATTAGTAATAAAAAATTATGTTTAACACCAAATATCACATTAACAAACATAAGCAAACTATAGTGACATTGGATTTTATCTAGAAAACTTATCATTGTATTTCTTTAATAATAAGACAAAAATCGTAACATTTTAGAACAAAAGGGGTCCCATACAGATAATGACAAAGAAAGATTACCATACCAACTCACCAAAATGGAGAACAATTCAAGATTACCCTTTGCCAAATAATAAGGATTTTATAAAAGGAATCATCTTGTTCTCAGTGACAAAAGCTTTTACCATAAATTAATATTAATCTACAAATCAGTTTCCAATTTCAAATCTTTACTTGAAAAAATAAACATAAAAATTCTAATTACCAATTCAGGAATAATTTCTGGGTTTTGCAAAAAATCTATATATAAAATATACAAACATTTGCATCAGCTTCCCAATTAAAATATGTATCATAATATGGCAATATACATATTTATCCTGTCTTTAAATGAATCACAAGTATAAGATTATTCTCCTTTCCAATATTTTAGATAAAAATCAAACCTCAAAGTATCCAACCACAATTAAAATTCATGTTGAGACAATAACTTAAGAACTGATAATATGAAAAATTATATACTTCTTTGACAATACAGTAACATTACTGACAATGAACTCCTACATTCCTGCACTCAAAAAGTGTATGAGAGCAGTCCAGTTTCAATCTGATACATAAAAAGCATGGAAACCATTACTCCCATCCTTACAAGAAAAAAAGCTGAACAAACTGAAAATCAACAACCTTTCTTAAAGCCATGAAGAATTTAGGTCACAGAGCAAACTGCAGCCCCTAAAACTAGAGAAATAAGCAAAGAGATATAGAGCATCACAGTGTACCAAGAGTACAGGCCCAGGAACGGAAGCCCACACCTGGAGCCGGTATCTGTAGGAATACTTTTAACTATAATTGAGCAATTGCTGAAGCTTTAGTGTAGATTAAGAGGTTAAAATTCCAGGAGTTCAGTCACACTTCCATAAATTTTACCCCCAGGAGCCCTATCAGTTGCTCACTGAAATTAGAAAAAAATCTCTCCCTGTACCTAGCAGAAGGAGGGGAAAGCAACCATTCTGAAGCACTCCCAGAGCTCTGTACTCCCCTAACAATATAGCGTCAAGGGAAAATATTTTACCAGAGCCTAACCAACTGGGGATTTACCGAAACCAAACAAGACTGAGGACTGTAAATACCCAATTATATACCCCTCTAGCCTTTGTTATGGAAGAAGGAAAATATCAAACTACAGGCCCCTCTAGCCTTCTACATGAACGGAAGGGAAACACCCAACTCCGGCTCACCAAAAGACTGAGACCTAATTATAGGACTATTGAATGCTTCTCCTGTATAAACACCTTACCACCAAATCAGTAGAATTTCCAAATAATAACAGGGGATCACAACTAAAAGAACTGCAAACTTTAGACACTATTTAGTAAGGAGTCTCTAGGGAAACACAAAACTGAATGACAAAAATAAAGACAACAGAAGAGAATATTCTGGAAAATTGAGTAGAAAGCAACAGAAATCAGTCTCCCCACCTAGACAGCAATGGCAGAATCTGTCTGACAAAACTATTCTGGAAATCTGGAATCTACTAAGGCTTTCAACTTCAGGAGAAGGCTTGAATTATACATTGCAGTTAATTTCAGTCAATTTGAGCTTTTAGCATGCTAGCAGCTACCCATTCCCAATCCCATGGCAGGTAGTTGTACACGTGTTCCTGGAGCAACCTGATACATCTTAAAGGTTCCAGGGTGAGTAAAAAGGATCCTGTCCTCCAACAGAAAACAACAAAACTGGATGAAGGAGGACAATATATATTTCCAAGTTATCACAATATTAGATTCAAATGTCCAGTTTTCAACAAGGAAAAAAAAAATCACTAGGCATACAGAGAAACAGGAAAGTATGACCCACTCAAAGGGAAAAAAAAAAGGATCAACAAAAGCCGTCCCTAAAAAAAACCTGATGGCAGACCTATTAGATAAAGACTAAAACAACCATCTTAAACATGCTCAAAGAACTAAAGGAAGATGTGGAGAAAGTCAAGAAAACAATATATGAACAAAATGGAAATATCGATAAAGAGATAGAAAACCTAAAAAGAAACCAAAAAGAAATTTTGGAGCTGAAAGTACAATAATTGACATTAAAAAATCTCTAAAGGGATTCAAAAGCAGATTTGAGAAGGAAGAAGAAAACAGCAAACGTAAAGATAGAACAAGGAAAATTACTGAATCTGAGGGACAGAAAAAAAAAAAGATTGAAGGAAAGTGACAGAGCCAAAGGGACCTATGGGAACCATCAAGAGGACCAACATAGGCTTGATGTGGGAATTCCAGAAGAAGAGAGAGCTAGAAAGAGAAGGTAGAGGGAAAATTTCAAAAAATAATGGCTGAAAACTTCCCAAACTTGATTTAAAAATAAATATAAACATTCAAAAAGATCAACGAACTCCAAGGTGAAATCACTGACACCAAGACATAATAAACCAATTAAATCTAACAAACATGCAGAATCCTCTATCCAATAAGAACAGAATAAACATTTTTCTCAAGTTCACATAGGACATTTTCCAGTACTGACAATATGTTATGGCACAAATTAAGTCTCCATAGATTTTTAAACATAGAAATCATATAAAGTATTTTTTCTGACCACAAGATGAAGTGAAAAATCGATTAACAGAAAGAAAACCAGATAAGTCGCAAATTTGTAGAAATTAAATAGCACACTCTTTAAAAAAAACAATGGATCAAAGAAGAAAATACCAGGGAAATTAGAAAATACTCAGAAACAAGTGAAAAAAAAAAAAAACCCCAATCTGCCATAACTTATGGGATTTAGCAAAAGAACTGCCAAGCAAGAAATTTATAGCTATAAACACATCGAAAAACAAAGAAGATTTAAAATCAATAACCTACCTTCACAACATAAGAAACCAGGGTGAAAAAAAAATTAACCCCAAGCCACCAGAAGAAAGAAAATAATAAAGATGAGAAGTAAATGAAATTGAGAACAGAAAACAATAGAAAAAATTAATAAAACTAAAAGCTGGTTCCTTGAAAAGATCTACTGAATTCACAAACATTTAGTTAGATGGGCTAAAAAAAAAAAGAGAAGACTTAAATGACTAAAATCATAAATCAAAGTGGGGACTTTACTATTATTCTGCAGAAATAAAAAGGAATGTGAGAGTGCTATGAACAATTGTATACCAACAAGTTGGACAACCTAGATTAAATGGACAAATTCCCAGAAACACAAAACCCTCCAGGAAATCACAAAGTAATAGAAAATCTCATTAGACCTATAACTAGTTAAGAACATTGAATTACTAATCAAAAATCTCTATTAAAGAAAAACCTAGACCTAGCACCTTCACTGGTAAATTCTACCAAACATTTAAAGGTGAATTAATACCAATCCTTTTCACCTTTCCCAAAAATTCAAGAGGAAAGAACACTTCTTGATGCATTTTTTGAGGTCGCCATTACTGTAATACCAAAGACAGACAAAGACTCAAGAAAACTACAGATAAATATTCAAATACTATCTAAAGTGATCTACGGATTCAATTCAACTCATCAAAACCCATGTTTTATGCAGAAATACAAAAATCCATTCTAACTTCATATGGAATCTCCCCCAAACAGCCAATGTAATCTTAAAGAGGAAGAATAAAGCCAGATTCCAAACTTACTACAAAGCTACAGTAATCACTGTGGTACTGGCATAAAGACAGATACAGATCACTGGACTAGAATAGAGCCCAGAAATAAACCCGCACATATAATGTCAAATGTTTTTTGACAAAGGTTGCAAGACCATTACATGGGGAAAAGATAGTCTTT